TATACACATATATGTATACACCAGTAATCTCAACATAATTATAATTAATATCCTTTTTTAAAACCTTATATTTTGCTTGTATGCTTATGCTTGTATTTATATAGAAACAAGACTTAAACCATTTAGGCTTATTGTCATATCCTAAATATCCCTTTATCTGAGAATTTGGAGAGTAGGTATATGTTGAATGTCAAGATTGTGCTGTGGGTCTAGCTATTTTCTTCAGTATAGCCATATTGAGTATAGCACCAACATTTTAAATCCATTCAATATGGTTTCTCCAACTAATCCTAATGGGCACAAGTCAGGAAAGAAAATAAGTGGTGTCAAGATACCAACACATTGGTTATTGACCATAAAGTCTTCATATATGCACATAGTAGTAACATTTGAAACAAAAAATTACTAGGCCAGCCTGTGTTGTGGTTGGCCTGTTTGACACTATATAGTGATTAAGTGATTCAAGGCCCAGACCCAGTGGCTCAAAAAATCATGCTGGGAATGTGTGCAGGTGTTCTCAAAAATCCTTCATTCTCCCTTAGGCAAAAAGTTAAATATGTGTTTGGAAGCATCTGACTGACCCTACATCAATATATTCAGCCTGGTTTTTCAAATGAAGTGAAATCAGAGATCAAGTCATTGAAAATATTTTTTAAATCTAACAAAGGATTACTTTAAAACATCACTCTGAAGGCCAACAGATGGCATAGCAGTTACATTGCTGGACTCCCACATGGCCAACAATGGTTTGAGTCCCAGACTCGGTAGTTTGAAACTCACACTGAGCATGGGGGTTGCATTTCCAAGATCCATGAAGGAGTAGGGAGGAGAGGAGATTATGGAATGGCCATCTGCACTGGGGGGTGATTTTTCACTTTCCCCCTTACTGTCTCTCTCTCTCTCTCTCTGGTGAGCACATGTATCCTAAGGCGAAAACTTCAACAAATTTTATCTTCTTTATCATGAATATGTAGTTAATTTACAATACAGATTCAATAATACTAAATTTTAAAGTTATTGCACTGCATTTCATCTGTTCTTCCTTATGTTATCCTATCTTATAATCTGTAGGATAAAATTTGATGATGTGGAGGATATTGTGTTCAAAAACTTTTGTGTGAATGTAAGTTGCAGTTTTGGACAATTTAATGAAGGTATTTTGTTACTGTTGTTTCCAAAAGGATTTATGAAACTATTAATCTAGTACAAATTTCATCCAGTTCCCAGGTTTAATATCTCCTGGGCAGCTCAAAGAAATCACTTCTCTGATCACTCTTACACTGTTGTGTGTCTGTCTAGGATCTCAATTCAAGTCAGAAAACATTTCTTTGAATCTCAACTTGGGTTATCCTTGAATTTTACCCTGTCCCTGTATGTCCTGGTGGTCATTTAAGAAATAGTGCAGCCTTCCAGCAAATTACTGTAGGGAACAAAAGAGAGTTGCAGGTGTTTTGTGTCTCTCTCCGGGATATTGGTTTATCTTCACAGCTGAATTACTCTAATTTTGCTTGAAGGATATAAATCTATTTTTCTACTCTACCCTTGAGCTAGGCTGAAAGTAAAGACTAGAGCCACTCTCTAAGTAAGTAGTACACCAAAGTACACAACTTACACATTTCTGTGAAGACTATAAAAGATTATTAAAATATGATCTCAAGATGTGCTTGCTAAGATGGCAGTTACTCCAACTGCAAAAGAACAGCTCAAAGTCCTCCTTTTCTTCATTGCACATGCAAATGTCTGGGTGCTTCTTGATTCTTCTCAAAGTTCTGGTAAATGGTTGAATCAGCAGGGATCATATCTTTTCTCTATACCCCAACCATGCCACTCAGCAGTATGTCAGCATTCCGAAATACTACCTTAATGGCAAAGCCTTAATGGCACAAAGAAATGTGGTATTATCTGTTGAAGATATTTTGTAGTTTTATCAACTGTACTAGGGAGAAATGTTTACCTGTTGAAATATCCATTTTGTAAGGCAAATAATTATGGGATTGAATGTATAAAAAAAATGAAATAAAATAAATAAATAAGAATACGAATAAACATATATTAATTTGAATTTTATTGAGTGAGAATGAAATTGGAGCTGATTAACTTCTTGACTGTCTCCTTCACTTCTTTGTTCCTAAGGCTGTAGATGAGGGGATTCAGCATGGGAATCATGATGGTGTAAAACACAGTGGCCACTTTGATGAGAAGCAATGACCCTACAAAGTTGGGTACACAGTAGATAAAGAGGAGGATTCCATGGAAGATGGAGATAGCAGTCAGGTGAGAGGAACAAGTAGAGAAGACCTTACGGAGTCCACCTGTAGAGGGCATCCTGATGATAGTGACGAGGATGAAGACATAGGAGGCCAGGATGATGAGGAGGCTGCAAGCCTCATTGAAGACAGAAATGACTAAACACGCCATCTGACTGAAGTAGGGATCAGAACAGGAGCGAGGGAGGATAGCAGTGTAATCACAGCAGAAGTGATTGATGATGTTAGATCCACAGTAGGATAGCTCCAAAAGAGAACATGTGAGTATCAGGGAGCAAAGTATACCCCATAAATAAGTCCCAGCTACAAGGAGAGCACAGAGCTTGACAGACATTGTAACTGTGTAGAGCAAGGGGTTACAAACAGCCACAAACCGATCATAGGCCATCACTGCTAACATGAACATTTCTGTAACCACAAATGTACAGCCAAAGAAAAACTGTGTCATGCATCCTTTGAAAGAGATAGTTCTGTCTTCTGCAACTAAGGTCTCTAATAGTTTAGGTGTAAGCACACTGGAGTAACAAATATCCAAAAAGGACAGGTGGCTAAGGAAAAAGTACATGGGTGTATGAAGTTTGGGATTGATTCTTGTGACCACAATTAAGCCCAAATTTCCCACTATTGTGACTGTGTAGATGGACAAGAACACCAGGAAGAGGGGAGCCTGGAGGTTTGGATAATCTGAGAAGCCCACCAGGATGAATGTGGATACAGAACTTTGGTTTACTTCATCCCATACCATGACCCTTGACAAGGAGGAAATGAAGGAAAGAAGGAGGGAGGAAGGGAAGAAGGAAGGAAGGAGATAACAGAGTAAGAGAAAGTACAATAGGAGAAAGGAAGGAAAGAAGGAGGGAGGAAAGGAAGAAAGAAGGAAGGAGTTAACAGAGTAAGAGAAAGTACAATAGGAGAAACTAGGAGTTTGATGTTACCAGTTAACGCCAATGTCGTCTGTCTGTGTTCATGAACATGCTGCTTCACTTTGGAGTCTAATGTTTGATATTGCTAAACCTAAAACAAAAAGAAAAACAAGCTTATTCTGGAAATAGATATGGAGACTCAACATATAATGATGCTGGCTTCTTGCACACATCTGAGAATAGGTCCACTTCTAGCCCTGTCTGTGACAAGCAATCTTCTACCACCCAATCTGCCACTACTAATCCCACATACAAACTGTCAGCTATGTAATTACACTGTCCAGCAGACTGGCAATTAAGTGACCCCTTCATGCATTTAGTCACATGAGTTGATTGAACATGCTTGCCTGTAATTTAAAGAACTTGATTACTTTTAAGTCAGTCATGGCCATGTAGGTTAAGAATTTTGAAATACTGCTATTCCTTGTCTACTCCTACTGCTTCACGGAAATAAAATCAAACCATTATATCAGAGAAGTTTCTAGAGCTTGAATTAGAGATAGAATCACTGCACTGGTTAGGTCATCCTCTACCTAATAGAAACTAAATTGTGTGTCTATAAGATGCTGAACAAAGATTAAGAGAAGACTTGGCACACTGAAAAGCAAAGCTTTCCTGGGAATTGTCTATGAGTTGTGTTCAGTCTCCCTTAGCATCTTCACACATCTAATAATGATCTCTCTTTAAAACCTGTCAGTGAAATTTATTATGGAAGCAGCCATCACAGTCATTCCTACATCCACAAATTTATCTCTTTTTTGTTTGTTTCTTTTTAGAGAGGTTTTTGCTACAGGCATGTGTGCTTGCTGGACAGAAAAAGACAGAGACAGAAAGTGAGAAATATCACCCTCAGGGGGACATGGCCTCACTACAGTTCCTTCTCCTCCATTCCCCTCTCAGGATCTTGGGCACACGTGCAAGCGCTCCCAGAGTGAGTTTTAAGCTGCCATGTCCAGGACTTGAATCATGGTTGATTATGTGGGAGTACAGCAACATAACTACTCTCCAACTGATGGTCCTAAATTTATATTAAAACATAGTATTTTACAGTGCAAGCAGGTAGCATGGTGGCTAAGGCAGCCACCATGGCCGACTTCACAGTTCAAATCCCAGAGCCTGCAACTTGAGAATCACACACCAGGTAAGTGTGCATGCATGCTCAAAATCCTGAGAGGATAACTCAGGAGAAGGAATTGTGGGGTGGCCATCTCTCCTGAGAAATTGTTTCTCACTCTTTCTCTCTCTCTCTCTCTCTCTCTGGTAAGCACACAGGTCCTATAGCAAAAACTGAAAACAAAACATAACAAAAAAGCAAATTATTTTATCTATTGCATTTATGCATAATGCAATATGAATTTAATGATAATTTATTTCTATAACTCAGAAGAAGGAATTGTGGGGTGGCCATCTCTCCTGAGAAATTGTTTCTCACTCTTTCTCTCTCTCTCTCTCTCTCTCTGGTAAGCACACAGGTCCTATAGCAAAAACTGAAAACAAAACATAACAAAAAAGCAAATTATTTTATCTATTGCATTTATGCATAATGCAATATGAATTTAATGATAATTTATTTCTAATTCATGTAAAACAAAGCAAATTCACTTTATATTATAGATCTTCAATTATTTGAAGATAGTTTGCATGAGCTTCTTAATTTTCTTCTTTAAGTAAATTTTTACTTTTTTTGTGGAGGTAGTTATTTAATATTTTCTTATCACGGTTTACTTAATATTTGAGACAATCTAATTATATTCTAGGTAAATTATTGAATTTCTATGCTAAAATTGAAACTAAAATGTGCCTTCTCAGGATCATCTGTCAGGTTATTAAGCAATGACATTCACTATTTTTTTTGCTTTATATCTAATAAGGATGCTTAACTGAGAACTTGTCAAATATTTGAAGTGTCTTAGATCAATTTACTGCCATGTCAAGTTTTGTGGTTGCTTACTGGTAAGCCAAATCATGCTATTGTGCTCTTGAAATTTTTCAACAAATTTTCATAATTGTGCACTTATTTCATTTCATGCATTGTTTCATTCTTTTTAAAAATTTAATATTTTATTTTATTGTCTAAATTTTTTATTTTATATTCATTCATGGTATATCATTATAGCATACAAAATGGATTTTCCCATCCAGAATATATTGAATATTGGTCCACTTAAAGATATCACTATATCTAATATTTTCAACAGATAATTTTCCATTGTGTGTTTCTTAACTGTTTTACTTCTTTCTTTTTTCCCTTTGATTCTCTCCCTCTCATGCTCTGCCATTTCCCAATCTCTAATATTTCCCACCTTCCTCCTACACTATCTCTAGTGTCCACAGTTGTTCTTCATGTCTTCATATTGTCCAATATTTCAATTTCTGTCATAGAGTGGAAACATTTGGTATTTATTAAGTGGGGATGTACAATGCCTTTCTTTTATACTCTGACTTGCTTCACTAAAGAGTAAGTCTTCTATATTTGTCCACTATCAAATGCCAGAGTCTCAATGATTTTCATGGCTGATTAGTATTCTGTAGTGTGTATCTGCTACACTTTTGCAACCCATTCGTCTGTTCATGAACATTTGGGTTGGTTCCATGTCTTAGCTATTGTTGTCTTACCTCTGTTTCTTGCACAACACTCTGTTACTGTAATTGCATCAACTCTCAATCACAGATATTAGCCTTTACTTTGACTCCTTTGTCTATACAAATGCCTTCTTGTTTCTTCAGTTTCATGAATCTTATCAAATACTGCTTGTATCTACCCCATTTCTACCCACCCCATTACAATTTGTAAAATTCGTTAAATATTTTTACACCTAAGCTCATGAGGAGTACATGAGTTATGCTCAGTATACATTTTAAGTTAGATAATTATAGGCAGTCTTTACAAGTTACCAGAGTTCATGATCACCTAAAATGAATGTGACTCTTACTCACCCATCTCACTATTATTTTGACAGTCATATCTACCTTGTATAATCACTAATTTACAAATAAAACAGATACTGAAAATACATAAGGAAAACAATACTTGTTAAGATAAGGTTACAATAATTTCAGCAAAATACTTAATGGTATTATTTCAAATTAAATAAGGTTGGTACCTGGAAAGATTATCACTGTTGAATGAATAATTTGTGTCCTTATTCAGGGTAAACCAGACATCAACAACAACAAATCTTCCACCATCCCACCATACTGATTTGTCAGAAACTCTAATCTTGGATGGATTTTCTGTTCATTGAGGGGAGCTGATCTGAATGTGTGGAGAAAAGGTAGCATCATATTATACTATTTTATAGGGAACATGAGCTTAGAAAGCAAATGCTATTAGTAAAGATTTAGTCTCTTTAAATTCTTACATATATAATGTAGGCAAATGGTTAAATTGAGCCATAATTTTAACATTTGTTTAATAGGATAAGAACATATAGTAGATCTTTTAATGTTTAGTGTGAGAATCTTAAATGGAATGTGATGTCAAAATATGTAGACATAAATTTATTCTTACATAAAACTCCAACCACAAATATCAACTCACTTCATTGGGGACCAGTAGTTAGCATAATGGTTATGTCGCTGAACTCACATATAGTCAACTGCGGTTTGAGTCCCAGACCCGGTGGCTTAAACTCATGCCGGGCACATGTGCATGCATGCCCAAGATCCCGAGAGGAGAATGGAGGAGAAGGTATTGTGGCATGGCCATCCTCCCTGGGAGGTAATTTCTCGCTTTCTGTCTCTCTGTCTCTCTCTGTCTTTCTGGAGAGTGCATGTGCCTTATAGCAAAAACCTCTCAAAAAAAAAAAAATCAACACACTTCTATCTTATTTTCCCAATGTGCTTATCTCATAGAAAATATCACCAATTACTCCTAAATTATAAAAACGCTTTTGTAGTGCAAATTAGGGAAGCTATTTTTAAAAGGATATTATAACCTAGAGTTCTTTTATTTTTATGTTTTTGTCTCAATCTCAAATTCACATTTTATTTATTTCTCAATCCACCAATGTATCACTTGCATTTTTAGGATTCCTTTATTTTTATAAGAATTGTTTATTTTATTTTATTTATTATCAATTTTTTTTTTCTCTCAGGCACATGCACTCACTGGAGAGAGAGAGAGAGAGACAGAGAGGGAAAGTGAGAAAGCAAGCTACCATGTCCAGGACTGAGCTACCATAGACCATGTGAGAGTCCATTGCCCCAACCCCCATGCCACCTGCTGGCCCCTGGCATTCCATTTTAATTAGTACCTAGTTATTCCGGATTCTCTTGTTGCCATTTCAAGTCTATGAGTTTGTGATACACAATCAGAGAAGAAATTTGAAAAGAAATATCTTCGAAATGTCTTTTTCTCTTCTTATTCACTGCCATTAACTGTGCCTTCTCTGGATATAAGATTTCTTTTTTAAAGAATAATTTTTATTTAACTCTATTTATTTAGTTATTTATTTGACCAGAATGGGAGAGAGAGAGAGAAAGAGAAAGTGAGAAAGCAAGCCACCAGGTCTGGGACTCAAACCATTGTCAGCCATGTGGGAGTCTAGCGCCCTTAACCAACAAGCCACCTGCCGGCCCCCAGGATATAAGATTTCTAACCATCCTGTAAAACTATAGACTAATCTGTAATATGAAATTTTATGAACTCTCTCTTAGCCTAAAATACACTAATGTAAATGTATTTGAACGAAATGAAAATAAAATAGAAATCTTTTGACATATATTTTCATAGTATCCCCAGAAACTACAAAACCAAATTATTTTTACTCTGAATGTTATTTTATTCATAGTAGTATAAATATTTACTTTACAAAAGCAAGTTATACCTTCTAATCTATTGTGT